AGGACACTGTATAGGGTTTCTAAGGAGCAGCTGGTGGATTTGAAACATCAACCTTGTGTTTAGCAGTCCAGTGCTTATGCTACATAGCCACACCAGAATCAGCCCCTCACAACTGCTGATAGTCACACTGGAACAAATTCTATCTGATTCTGCTTATGTAAAAAATAGCTAGCATAGACAAGTGTATAGAGGCCATGGATAGTCAATAACAATTTTTTAAAAGTACACCACCAGGTCTTTCTTCCAAGGCACTTCTGAGTGGATTTGAACCTCCAGCTTTTTGATGAACAGCCTGACAATCTTAATCCTTTGCATCACCTAGGGACTCTTACTAGATAAACTTTATTTCTGTTAGGATAAAGGTTTTAACACATTCACATGCATTTGTTATGATTATTGTTGGTTTTGCTAGGTGCTAATGAGTCAGATGTGACTCAGAGTGACCCCGTGTACAACAGAACAAAATACTTCCAGGTTCTGCCCTATCCTCATCATCGTTACTATGTTTGAGTTCATTTCTTCATTTAGTGTCAATCCATCTTGACAAGGGTCCTCCTGTTTTACACCAACTCTACAAATGGGAAATTACTTGGGGCAATGAGATTTTTCTCAGTCTTTTAGAGCATGTGATATAGAAAACAACCCACAGTTCCACTTCTCTGCAGCATCACGTTGTTACTCGGTGGGATATTTGATTACTATCTTAGGAGCTCTCTAGAGAAGAGAGAAAAGGTAGCTGAAGGTCACAGTGCACAAATTATCTCCTGTGATGGATGGGCCTCACTTGTCATTCCACACAGAGATTAGAACATTGGAAAATTGCACAATAGTTCTGTGGAGAAGTCTGACTCTTTCTTTCCATCTAAATTTTGCATAAAGGTTAAATCCTTTGTTTATACTTTTCTTCCACAGGCATCAAAGTCTCTGAAATCCTTAGACTCAGTGGTCTGACTTCCCTATTCTCTCTCACCTTTAGTAGATGACTTGATAAATATGTTTTGCTCTCCATTCTGAGAAGGTGTATAGTAATCTCAATGCAGATGCTCTCTTTGGGTCTAAAAAGACTGGTAATCTAAATAATGCATCTAAAATGATGAAACACAGCAGACTTCTTTTAACAAAAATGATACCAACTCTAAACCATTGATAGATTTTCAAGAATTATTGCTCTCTTTTACATTACTGAAAATATTATTTTGATAATCATAACAATATTACTAGATACATAGTAGAAAAATATCAGCAACTGAATACAAGTAAATATATTAGTTCATCGTTCTAAGAAGTCTCTAAATTATGACAGTTTACTTAACTATTTTTAACCAGTAAAGGAAAAATATACAACTACATTCTGAAGTGTCTCTCCTCCTTTGTGAAGAGTGTTCTCTTTCCTTAGCAATTGTTAGTCTGTCAGTTGTTCTTATTGGAACTGTGTGTAAAGATTATTTTGCTGAATCTTAATCCCACAGCAATTATGTATCCTCATCCCTCAAAATACTGTTTGCTGTTGTTGATATTGTTGTTAGGAGCCATCAAGTTGGCTCTGTCTCATAGCAACCCAGTGCAAAAAAGAACAAAACCCTGCCCAACCATTCTCCAAATTGTTATGTCTGAGCCCATTGTTGCTGCAATTGTGTTACTACGTCTCTTTGGAGGTCTTCCTGTTTTTCAATATCCATTCACTTTACCAAACATGAAGTCCTTCTCTGGGTACTGGCCACTCCTGACAACATGTCCAAAGACAAATATAATCAGACAAGGATAATCAGACACAATCCGGTTATCCTAACTTCTAAACAGTGTCTGACTGTGCTTCTTCCAAGACAGATTTGTTTGTTCTTTTGGCAGTCCATGGTACTTTCATTATTCTTCACCCGTGCCGTAATTCAAATGCATTAATTCTTCCTTATTCCCTGTCTAATCTTCACAGGCATATGAGATTGAAATACCCTGGCTTGGGTCAGACATATCTTAGTCCTCAAACTGACATCTTTGATCTTGAACATTTTATTAATTTATTTTTAAATGTTTTATTGTGAATTGAGTGAAGGTTTACATACAAGATCATCATCTTTGCATTCAACAAATCATAAACTTTGTTTCATCACAATGATAGCAATACCTTCCATACAACAAATTATCCTGCTTCCTCCCTGTATTTGCATTCCATCCGCCTTCCCATTCCTTCTCAATTTTGCACTTTGGTAAATGTTGCCCTTCTGATTTTTTAATAATTGACCATTCCATGTTGAGCATATCTTACTAGTATGGTACCCCCTAAATACTTACCTATTGCCTGGCTGAAAATTGAGTCACAAAGTAAGTTCCTTTCAAGACCTTAAAGATGGCCAAGGACCACAGTCTCAGGTTCCTCCAGTTTTTCTTATTAGTAAGAAGCCCATTAATTTTTTTTTTTTTTTGAGTTTTGTTATACATTTTCTCCCATTCTATCTGGACTGTCTAATATGACCACTTTCTGAGCAGTTGGTAGTGACAGATAGGCACCATTTGTTTCTTCTAGTCTCAGAGTCCTGAAGACTGATATTTATTTACATGTCACATCAGTCCATTGCACTAATTGATTCAAAGCTTCTTCAATTATAATCACTCTTTTTTCTTCCACATATGAAGAGACCAATAGCTGCACTTTAGATAGCTGTTCATGAGCATTAAAGATCCCAGACACTACTCACCAAAGCAGGATATAGAATACTGTCTTTGTGGACTGTGTTATGTCAATTGACAATGGTGTCCCCTCAGACTATGGTCCTAAAACCCCAGGACCAGTAACTCATAGCTTAAGTGATGATCTCTAAGAAGTTTTCATCATTTGCACACTGCATGCTCCACCACATGCATACTTGTGCTTGCTGGAAAGGTAAATACCTATGTACAAATAAAGAGGTACACATGTACCTCTTTCGAACCCATATATATTTGTGGATATACTTGCATTTTTCCTCCTATACCTATTCAACCTGTATCTAATTGCAGAACACTATTGTTCCAAAAGTTGTGTATATACCCCTATTTATCTCTATCCTCTCTAGCAATTGACCTAAAGAGGTCCCTTGCAGTAGATTTGCCTAATGAAATACATCGTTTGATTTCTTGACTACTGCTTTCAAAAACATTGATTGTGGATGCAAGCAAATTGAAGTATTTGAAAACTTCAATGTTTTCTTTATTTTTAGTATTATTTATTGGTCCAGTAGTGAAGATTTTTGTTTTCTTGACATTTAGATGCAATCCATACTGAAGGCTGTAATCTTTGATCTTCATAAGCAAGTATTTCAAATCATCTTCACATCCAGGATGCAAGGTTTCACCAGGTTGTTAATGAGTAATACTGATACTGCGTTCTTTTTCATAGGTCTAGGTTCTCATAGTATTTGCTCATCATACAGAATGAATAAGTATGGTGAAAGGATACAAACCTGATGCACACGTTTCCTGATTTTAAACCATTCAGCATCCCCTTGTCTGTTCTTCTGCTTGGTCTATGTACAGGTTCCTCATGAGCACAATGAAGTGTTCTGGAATACCCATTCTTTGCAATGTAATCCATAGTTGTTATAATCCACACATTTGAATATTTTTGCATAATCAATAAAGCACAAGTAAACATCTTTCAGGTATCCTTTGCTTTCAGTCAAGATCCATCTTACATCAGCAATGATATTTTGTATTCTACATCCTTTTAAAAATCTGGTATCAGTTGCTGGTTGCTCTCTGTAGATGTACTGTTGCAACCACTTTTGAATGATCTTCAGCAAAATTTTCCTTACAGGTGATATTAATGATATTTTTAGATGATTTTCACATATTGTTTGGTCACCTTTCTTTGGAATGTGCACAAATATGGATCTCGTCCAATCAATTGGCCAGGTAACTGTCTTCCAAATTTCTTGACTTTGATGAGTGAGTGCCTCCAGCACTGTATCAGTTTTTTGAAACATTTAATTTTGTATTCTGTCAATTCTTGGAGGCTTGTTTATCCTCAATGCCTTCAGTAAAGCTTGGACATCTTCCTTCAATTTCATCAGTTCTACCAGGAATGTTTGCTCTATAAAGGCACACCATAATTTAACCTGAAGGAACTCTGATGTTGGTATTTCAGGAGTTAGGAATACATTGATGCTGAGATATGTGGATAGAATTGTATTCTAATTGTTGCTCAAATCACATGAGCATTTGTCAGCTTACTTGCACTGTAAAACTGATCCCAAAACATGTTGCAACTGGGAACTATCTGTTTCGAAGAGAAAGAAAATAATTTATTAAGAACATGGGATTTGGAGTCCTGACAACATTACTCTCTGTATGATCTTCAGAAAGCCTTAGTTATCTTATTAGCAAATTGAACATGTTAATATCACCTACACTACTGGGTTTAGTCAAAAGAAAATAAAGTGATATTTTATTGGTGTCGATGTTTTATGAATTGCTAGGTGCTACATTGAAATGGGTTCATTCTGGGAATATAGTATTAAATTTCTCTATGTAACCTGTGTTTACAGAAATGCAAAATTTAAGTACATTGTCATTTAAAAAAAGAATACATGTATATAAATACTTTTATGTAAACTCTCATGTACAACAACTGTCTTCATTTCTATTATTCTTTTGTTTTTTTTATCAGTTGTCTTAGAGATTTTTAATTTATGGCCTTGAGGGTGTAATTTCAAAGGGCTAGATGAAAAGTAGGAGTCATTTTTCGGTATTATAAAATGCCTGTACCTTAGGACTTCTGTCTTTTAGTCAGTACGTTTGATGCAAGCCATTTGTCTATACAACTAATTTTTTATGAATATTAGTGTTATGGCCAAAATTGAAAAAAAGAAAGCTATCCAGGCATTTCTGTGGGGAAATGAAGTTAGTTACATTGGCTAGGGACAAAGGAAGATAGTAATGATATACGACTAAGTAATTTGTGTTGTCTCAAGGTGAAAATCAAATATGTTTAACCTTGCAAACAATTTTATTATTATTTTCTATAGATGGGGCACACTGAAAGGAGCACAGGGACGAAAAGAAAAATTTTGGGTATGTAACTGTTTTTAATTGAAGTCTTCTGTCTTTCTACTCCCTGACTTTTAATGTTGAGTCCAATCCTGTAATCTTATAATATTGGTCATAATATTGTATATTGATATTTTCTCCAGCATGAAAATCATTATACTCATTTATAGATAGTCATTTTGCTGTTTTAAGTGCGATTTATAGCAACGCTGTTGTAGGCTTTGCATATCAAAGGTTGTTAATGAATTTTCGTCCTATCCTGATGCCATATTTTTCTCCATATAATCCAGCTTCTCAGATCATTTGCTCAGCATATAAATTGGATAAGTATGGTGAAAGAATACAACCACAGCACACAGCTTTTCTAATTTTAATTCATTCGGCATTCCCTTGTGCTACTCAAACAATTGCCTCTTAGTCTATGTACAGGTTTATCATGAGCACAATTAACTGTTCTAGAATACTCATCCTCTACAATTTTGTCCATAGCTTGTCATGATCCATACAGTCAAAAGCCTTTGCATAGTAAATAAAGCAAAGATAAACATCTTTCTGGTATTCTCTGCTTTCAGCCAAGATCCATCTGACTTTAGCAATTATATCCTTTGTCCACATCCTATTCTGAATCTGGTTTGAACCTCTGGAATTTATTTGTCAATGTATGGTTGCAACCGTTTTTAAATTATCTTTAGCAATGTTTTGCTTCCATGGGATAACAATGATGTCATCTTATGATATCTGCATTCCGTTTGTTCACCTCTTTTTGAAAAGGGCACAAATATGGATCTCTTCCAGTCAGTTGGCCAAGTAGTTGTCTTCCAAATTTCTTGGTTTAGATGAGTGAGTGCCTCCAGTGCTTCATCAATTTGTTGAAAGATTTCAATTTGTATTCCATCAATTCCTGAAGCCTTGTTATTTGCCAATATCTTCAAAACACCTTTGACTTCTTTAGTTTCATTTGCTCCCGATCGTGGTTGAAATGGTTGAACATCGACCATGTCTTTTTGTAACAGTGATTATGTGCATTCTTTCCATCGTCTATTGATGCTTTCTGCATCAATCAATATTTTGCCCAGAGAATCCTTCAATATTTCATGTCGAGGCTTGAATTTTCTCTTCAGTTCCCTCAGTCTGAGAAATACTGAGCATGTTCTTTCCTTTTGCTTTCTAACTCCAGTTCTTTGCACATTTCATTGTAATATTTGACTTTGTTTTCTTGAACTGCTTTAGAAATTTTCTGTACAGCTCTTTTACCTCCTCATTTTTTCCACATGTTTTAGCATCTCTACACTGGAGAGCAAGTTTCAGAGTCTCTTCTGGCACCTCTTTTCCTAAGGTCTTTTCCTTAATTCTTTTCTTCTTAAGGACGTTTTGCTTTCCTCCTGTATAATGTTCATGTCATCCCACAACTTTTCTGTCTTTTGGTCTTCAGTGTTTAATGCATCAAATCTGTTCATGAGATGATCTCCAAATTCAGGTGGGATATGTTCAAGGTTATATTTTGACTCTCATGGACTTGTTTTAATTTTTTTTTTTCACCTTCAGCCTGATCATGCATATGAGCAGTTGATGGTCTGTTCCACAGTGCATCCCTGGCCTTGCTCTGGCTGATGAATGATATGGAGCTTTTCTACAGTGTCTTTCAACAGATGAAACAATTTTATTTCTGTGTATTCCATCTGGTAAAGTCCATGTGTATAGCTGTCTTTTGTATTGTTTAAAAAAGGTATTTGCAACAAGCAAGTCATTGCTCTTGAAAAATGTTATCTCCAGCATAATGGAAGAAATGAGGAGGTACAAGAGCTGAATAGAAATTTTCAAAGGTCAGCACAAGAAAATAAAGTCAAATATTATAACAAAATGTGCAAAGACCTGGAGTTAGAAAGCCAAAAGGGAAGAACGCACTCAGCATTTCTCAAGCTGAGGGAACGGAAGAAAACATCCAAGCCTAGACTTTCATTATTGAAGGATTCTCTGGGCAAATTATTGAAAGGTGCAGAAACCATCAAAAGAAGATGGAAGGAATACACAGAGTCACTGTAACAAAAATAAATGGTTCATGTTCAACCATTTCAAGAGGTAGCATATGATCAAGAGTCAATGATATTGAAAGGAAGAAGTCCAAGGTGCATTGAAGGAATTGGCAAAGAACAAGGCACTGGGAATTGATGGAATACAAATTGAAATCTTTCAAGAAAGTGAGGCAGCACAGAGGCACTCACTTATCTATGCCAAGAAATTTGGAAGACATCTATCTGGCCAACTGGTTGGAAAAGATCCGTATTTGTGCCCATTCCAAAGAGAGATGACCCAACAGAATGCGGAAATCATTGGACAATATCTTTGATATTCCATGCAAGATTTACTCAAGGTAATACAAAAATGGCTGCAAGCATACATTGACAGAGAACTTCCAAAGGTTCAAGCCACATTCTGAAGAGGATATGGAATGAGGGGTATCATTGCTAACATCAGATGGATCTTGGTTGAAAGCAGAGAATACCAAAATATGTTTACCTGTGCTTTATTGACTACACAAAGGCCTTCAAAGATTGTGTGGCTTATGACAAGCTATGGACAACATTGTGAAGTGAGTAATCTGGAGCATTTAATTGTGATCATGAGGAGCATGTACATGGACCAAGAGGCAATTGCTCAAACAGAATGTGGGAGCACTGAGTGGTTTAAAAATTGGAAAGGTGTGTGACAGGGTTGTATTCTTTCACCATACTTATTCAACCTGTATGCTGAGCAAATAATCTGAGAAGCTGGGTTATATGAAGGAAAATGTGGCATCAGGATTGGAGGAAGACTCATTAACAACCTGCAATATGCAGATGATACAACCTTGCTTTCTGAAAGTGA